GAGATTAGATACTTTGTGATTTGTGAATGCCACGTGTCATCCATCAGGGCGGGTCTCACCCGCTTTATATGAGACCTGGTCTCATATAATTTTTTTCCCAGCCCAATACCCTTGAGCCATAGAGAATCCCAAAATTTTGCTTTGTTTCTGTTCACCACATAACCTTGGTGGCCGCCACAAAAATATCTCGATCATTGTCATTACATGGTCTATCCTCAAGGATGATACTCGAGATACAATAGTTAAAAACATGTTATTGTCATGGTACACAAATTTCAAGCAGTTACACACATTTCACATATTCCAAAGGATAATACTACCCTTTTTTGTAGATGCAACCACCACTCCTCTATAAGAAAAAGACTTAGGGTTCTTTTGCCTCCCGCCAGCATTGGGGCCAGTCCGCCTCATCTTCAGTGGCCCTAGGGCCATGGATATGTGGTGGACCCTGGCGCCTGCTGGCTGGAGGGATCTTGCTCCCTTTTTAGGTGTTCTTGTGAGTTTATTTAGGTTTTGTGTCCTGCTCAGGAAGACGAAACGGTGACCGTTCCTTGAAGTAGGAATAAGATTCTCCCCGCCTAGCCCATGCATCTAGCGTCGTCACATGATGCGTGAAGGTGTGTCTCCGACGGTTCTCACAAGATTTGGTCGTCGGTGTTGGTCTTCGGTTGATTTGCTTGGATCCAATTTTTGTTCGTCTTCGGATTGGATCCTTTCGATGTATACTTCTCTTCTTCGGCGACTGTTGCTATTTTAGTGCACTGGTCCGGTTCTTAGCACGACGACTTTCCGACTGTCTACTACAACAAGTTTGGCCTGACTCCGATAAGGGAGCGGTGATGAGGACGGCGTCCCTTTGGATCACTCCAGTGCTTTAGTCATTGCTACAACATGGATGCATTCTTTTTCTGTGTTTATTTTTTATACCACCGCGGCATGATGAAAAGATCGGAAGTTTTCTAAAAAACAATACTGCTCATTTTTGGACTAGGGAAAGCTTTACAAATTCGTCGAGAATGGATGCACTAGTTTGCAAATTCTTCAGGGCTGTGTAACTCCATAAGTTTGACTGTTTCTGGTTTCTGGAGAGAGAGAGTGAGAGACTGAAGGGATGGGTACTACGTTGGAAATTCTGCCGGCCGGGAGAAGCGCACGGCAGGGCCGAGAATAAGAATGATTGCGTATCTTTGGACCGAGAACCAGAAGTGCGTCATCAATTCATCACCATCATCACACTTTCTCATTGACAGCTAACCACCTCCATGAATGTACACATCCTGCAGAGCCCTAGGCAGCTCCGCCCGCATTGAAGCTGTGCAGGAGAGGAGAACACACTCTTTGGATCCACTGCTTTGCTGGAGCCTGCCTATAAATACGCACTCTCGCGTCTCCTCTCCACAAGTTCTTCCTCACTCCAGCCAGCTAGCCTTCTTCTTCCTCTGCTACTAGTACCAGTGTCTGTCCGTGCCTTCCAAGCCCGAGTACTACCATTTCACTACCTCAGAAAGAGGTACGAAGAAGTAGCACTAGCACTGCATTTTCACAATCCATCCCTAGTGCATTTCTTGCCTTCTTTCTTGAATCTTGAGTGCTGCTAGGTGCAAGTTGTTTCCTAAATCAAGCGCAGTATGTTTTAGTTTGAACTGTAACCATAGGTGGATGTGAATGTGGTGCAGGTGGCTAGCAGGGCGCGGAGGATGGAGCGGGCGAACACGGAGCTGTACCTGGAGAACCTGTGCATCATGCAGGCGAACGAGCGGCTCCGGAGGAAGGCACAGCTGCTGGCCCAGGAGAACGAGCAGCTCCTCGCCGATCTCAAGCGCAAGCAGCAGCACATGGCGGCCTCCTCCAGGGCGGCGCCCCAGATGGCGAAGGGCGGCGAGCCGTCTGGCCATAACGCGGCCAGCCTCAAGTCCGGCAAGCAGCAGCCCCAGTGACCGTGCCGGAGTCGCGCGCGTGCGTGCATGCAGTCGTGGAAGCCGTACTCGTCTCTGTGAAAAAACTAGTAGGAGTAGTAGTACTCAGCAGATTGTAGATTAGAGCTGGCATGCATGCACGATCGAGCTAGTAGTGATTTAGTTCTACTTTTGGTGATTTAGCAAGAGGAAGTGGTAGTGATGGCAGCTAGCGCTTTTGGGGGTTGTATTTGCATGGCTTTGCCTTTGTGGCGCCATTTCTTGTTTCAGTGTGATGACCCTGATGGTGGTGGGTACGTACGTAGCGTACCAGACTACCAGTAACATGAAAGATGGTTCACGTTATTCGAGTACTGGCGAAAATCTGCAGTTTAATGTGAACAATTAGCGAAAATCTCTCTTTTACAAATACGGCGTGATGTATATGCAATGGCTCGACTGCCAGACATGTGTCTGAAGGGGTTTCAGAAAGTGAGGCTCCTGACCGAAATATTGCAATAGTGCTGCACTTGCGGACTGAAGGCATAAGGAATCATCTACACGCAAAGTTTTTTTTTCCACAAACGAAGGCATAAGCTTTGCCTCATCCATTAATTTTAAGAAGAAGAATAGAATTTGTTACACCACCCATATTACGCGCGAAGGTGGAACTAGCTGTTTGGTGCTCAGTTTTTTACTTCGTGTAAATTCCGGCTCACATCTTTCTCTCGTTCTGCCACATCAGCCCGTTAGCATCCTTTCCGTAACACTTGCCAATAAATCATCAATTCATCCCAAACTTTAGCCCATTCCCACTATCTCACACTCCGACCGCCATAGTAAATTTTCGTCGCCGCTCCCAACTCTCTCCGTCACGACCGTCCTCTCCGATTGACGGCGATCTTGCCGGTTGTCACTGCGTGGGCCGAGCAGTAAACGCACGGCATGTTGTTGCCGTGCCACCCGCGCCGTCCCCAACTCTCTCCATCACCGTCGACGCTGTCCTCTTGGTGGGCCTCCTTATCCATTCCTCTTCTCTGTGTGTTGTGTAACTTGATTCCAGACCGATTGATTGGTCACGAATCGGCTCTCCGGGTTTTGATTTGGCCTGTTGCCGTGAAATAACCCTAGTTCCTACTTGGTAGGGGTAGAACAACTCACAATTTCTCTATTTTTTAATCATATATATGTATGCTTCCATGTTTGATATGATACAGTATGATTTGGTCATTTGATTTAATTCCTTGCATGCAACAATGATTCAAGCACATGATTCTTCTACGGTTCTAACAAAGTCAAACAAACCTCATTAGGAAACTATATGCATATTTATTGATAAATGAAATTGGCTATTAGCTTTGCAGTGTGTGTTGGGGATATAACTATCAGGTGTGACCCGCCCAGAAGACCGGGTTATACCTATGGCGATTCATGATATGAAGCCCACGAGAATATTGAAGATGGCGATTCACAAGCAAGGGCCCAAGGCCCAAGGGCGTCTTAAGGCCCGTAGGGGTAAACCGTCATATATGTAAGACTTGTATTGTAATGCATGTATAGATAGTCATCGAGCCGGACAGATTATCTATGAGCTGGCCGGGACTCCGTGAGCCGCTGGGCGTCAACCTGTGTATATAAAGGGACGACCCGGCGGCGGTTCAAGGCAAGAAACAAGAGATCAAAAGTTAGGTCAAGCGTATTCGCTCCCTGGTACTCGAGATATAAGCAATATCATCTCAAACTGGATTAGGCCTTTACCTTCACCGCAAGGGGCTGAACCAGTATAAACTATTGTATCCTTTGTACCGTTTAACCCCTTTAAGCTAACCTAGTTGCGATGGCTCCACGACTAAGTCCTCACACTAGGACATCTTCCGTGACTATTCCACGACAGTTGGCGCCCACCATGGGGCCAGTGCACGGTGGTTTCGAGTTCTTAAAGGGCAACTTCAAAGGGATCAAGGGATACACTGTGTGCCGGATGACCAAGAGTCGTCGCGGCAAGCTCTACATCGACGATGCATGCTGGGGCCCCGAGGCCGGCTCAATTGAGTACGGGTACCGGGTCCCCTTCGGCGGAATCCACGTCTTCATCGGCAAGATCGGTGAGCCAGGCCCTGAGCCGGACATCTGCACCGACATCATCGAGACGGCTCAGCGTGCGAGACCCACCCGAGCTCAGCCCACCGAGAAACGTGCCTTCATGGGATTCATCCATGGAGCGGAATTTGATGAAGGATCTATGTCTGACGGTGAGACGCCATCTATTCTGATGGTGAGTCGTCCACAAGCGAGACTACTTTATTGTATCAACTGCAAGATGGCAGGCTTGGGGGTTCCTATGGCGACAGTATTCCGGACCCCTGTGAGCCGCCTAACAGGGTTGGGATCTTTATGGCCGGTACACAGCCTGGTCAGAATTCTTCAACTGCAGCGGCAATGATCTCCAGGTCAGCGGCGGGGACGGCGACCGGGGCAGAAGGCCCTGTGCGCCTGCCGGCTCAGGTTTTGACGGATTTAATGGATAATCTAACAGATCTATTGGCAGTAGAGGTCAACCCAGCGAATCAAGCTCAGCATAATGCAGAGATTGCAAGGTTACATGATGAGGTAGCACTAGCCAAGGATGACCTGGCGGCAGAGGACGTCAGGATAGCCGCAGAGTGGGCTGCCCTGGATGCTCAGGCTCAGCGGATTTAGGCAGAGACTTTCCGGCTTACGATGGATCAAAACGCTTCAAATGAAATCATGAGGAGGAGTGACAAGTCTCTTCTACCTCCGGTTTACGAGGCGAGAAACCTCTTTTGCACACCTAGAGCAGGGACCAGTAACCCGCCGCAGACAAACCGAGTTGCAGCACCTAGGGCCGGAACGCCAGTTCAGCCACGCGTAACGGAGCCACCTCGTTTGAATAATGTTCCGTGTCAGGATGTGCCAATGATACGTCTCCGTCGTATCTACTTTTACAAACACTTTTGCCTTTGTTTTAAACTCTGTTTTGAATGGAACTAACCCAGACTGACGCTGTTTTTAGCAGAACTGCCATGGTGTTATTTTTGTGCAGAAATAAAAGTTTTCGGAATGACCTGAAAAATCCACGAAGCTACTTTTTGGAATTAGTAAAAAAATATTGGCGAAAGAATCAGCACCAGGGGGCCCACACCCTGTCCACGAGGGTGGGGGCGCCCCCCCGTAGGGCGCGCCCCCTGCCTCGTGGGCCCCCTGAAGCTCCACCGACCTCAGCTCCAACTCCATATATTCATGTTCGGGGAGAAAAAAAATCACAGAGAAGGATTCATCGCGTTTTACGATACGGAGCCGCTGCCAAGCCCTAAACTCTCTCGGGAGGGCTGATCTGGAGTCCGTTCGGGGCTCCGGAGAGGGGAATCCGTCGCCGTCGTCATCATCAACCATCCTCCATCACCAATTTCATGATGCTCAGCGCCGTGCGTGAGTAATTCCATCGTACGCTTGTGTTGGGAAACGTAGTAATTTCAAAATTTCCTACGCACACGCAAGATCATGGTGATGCATAGCAACGAGAGGGGAGAGTGTTGTCCACGTACCCTCGTAGACCATAAGCGGAAGCGTTAGCACAACGCGGTTGATGTAGTCGCATGTCTTCACGATCCGACCGATCCAAGTACCAAACGTACGGCACCTCCGAGTTCAGCACACGTTCAGCTCGATGATGTCCCATGAACAATGATCCAGCAGAGCTTTGCGAGAGAGTTCCGTCGACGGCGTGATGACGGTGTTGATGATGCTACCGGCGTAGGGCTTCGACTAAGCACCGCTACGATATTACCGAGGTGGAATATGATGGAGGGGGGCACCGCACCCGGCTGGGATAGATCAACAGATCAACTTGTGTGTCTAGAGGTGTCCCCTTGCCCCCGTATATAAAGGAGCAAGGGGGGAGGCGGTCGGCCAAGGAGGAGGGTGCGCCAAGGGGGGAGTCCTACTTCCACCGGGAGTAGGACTCCTCCTTTCCTTGTTGGAGTAGGAGAGGGGAAGGAAGGGAGAGAGGAGAGGAAGGAAAGGGGGGGCGCCGCCCCCCTCCTTGTCCAATTTGGACTAGAGGGGGAGGAGGCGTGCGGCCTGCCCTGGCCGCCCCTCCTCTTCTCCACTAGGGCCCATGAGGCCCAATAAACCCCCGAGGGGGTTCCGGTAACCCCCCGGTACTCCGGTATATATCCAAAACCTTCCAAAACCATTTCAGTATCCGAACATAGTCATCCAATATATCATTCTTTACGTCTCGACCATTTCGAGACTCCTCGTCATGTCCGTGATCATATCCGAGACTCCCAACTACCTTTGGTACATGAAAACACAAAAACTCATAATACTGATCGTCACCGAACTTTAAGCGTGCGGACCCTACGGGTTCGAGAACTATGTAGACATGACCGAGACACATCTCCGCCCAATAACCAATAGCGGAACCTGGATGCTCATATTGGCTCCTACATATTCTACAAAGATCTTTATCGGTCAAACCGCATAACAACATACGTTGTTCCCTTTGTCATCGGTATGTTACTTGCCCGAGATTCGATCGTCGATATCTCAATACCTAGCTCAATCTCGTTACCGGCAAGTCTCTTTACTCGTTCCGTAATACATCATCCCGCAACTAACTCATTAGTCACATTGCTTGCAAGGCTTATAGTGATGTGCATTACCGAGAGGGCCCAGAGATACCTCTCCGACAATCGGAGTGACAAATCCAAATCTCGAAATACGCCAACTCAACAATTACCTTCGGAGACACCTGTAGAGCACCTTTAGAATCTCCAACAATGTTAATGAAGCTACCGACGCAGGGCTTCGCCTAAGCACCGCAACGATATGACCGAGGTGGATTATGGTATAGGGGGCACCACACACGGCTAAAAGATCAATGATCAACTTGTGTGTCTTGGGGTGCCCCCTGCCCCCGTATATAAAGGAGCTAGGAGGGAGGCGGCCGGCCAAGGAGGAGGGCGCGTGAGGGAGTCCCGGACTAGGGGGTGTCCGGATAGCCGAACTATCATCAT